GAGCGACATGGTCAAAGCGCACACATCGCCATCCCCAACTCGTCACCGCTATCGCTGCCACGCAAATTCGGCACTGAGCACGCGACTGCCAAACAGCTCACCCTCTGCGGAGGCGAGAGTCTGTGGGGACTACTCAACAGCAGCATGATAATATCTCGCGACCTGTACAATGCCTCTCCCCCGCTGCGCCGAACCCGCATGGCCAACAACCCGACTCTGTTGTATTCGTGGTGGTGCACCGTATTCTCTGCCGTCATCATAGGCGTCCGACTGTCTGGCCGCTACATCCGCAATGAACGACTCTTCCGCGAGGACAAGATCATGGCGCTCAGCATCATCCCACTGTTTGCGCGTATGGGCTTTGTGCACGTGGTCCTCATCTGGGGCACCAACAATGTCAATGTTTCGACTTTGACAGACCCGCTCATCATCCGCCATCGCGAGATCGGTTCTCAGATGGTCCTCGCCTCGAGGATCTTCTATGCGTTGTTGTACGTGCAGTCATCAACTTTGTTAGAGTGCGACTAACCCCATGCCAGCATCTGGATGGCCAAGTTCACCGTTTCCGAGTTTCTGAAGCGGTTGACAGAACGTTTCTGGAAGAAAGGGTACGATTGGGGACTGCGTGGCATACGCATCTTCCTTGTCGTTACTTTCTTCATGGTCCTAATTGCCACACTGGCAGAGTGCCACCCCACCTCCCACTACTGGCAAGTCGTGCCGGATCCAGGACCGCAATGCCGACAGGGTTATGCGCAGCTGCTCACTATGGGCATCACCGACATCGTCACCGATATATTTCTGATCGCCTTCCCGATTCCGATCATCGTGCGTTCGAGCATGCCATTAAAGCGAAAGATCTCTCTCACTGTGCTCTTCTCCCTGTCAGTCGTCCTGATCGTCGTAACTGGGACGCGAATGCCTCTGGTCATCCAACGACAAGGTCTACAACAGTTCCGCACTGTATTCGCTTCTTCGGAAATCTTGGCTGCAACCATAGTTTCAAACGCCATCATCCTAGGATCGTTCCTTCGCGACCGAGGTGTTAAGAAAGCCAAGTTCAAAGCACCATCGACTACAGACAGCATGGAACGCAGAGGGTCAGCACGACGCTTCACGGACCAAACATGCAGTAGCGACGAAGACCTCGCACGATCGCTAGGGTACCGGACAAAACCCGAACTACTCGAGAAGCAGACAAGCGTTCCTAGACCAGCTCCGGTGGCTGATCTTGACCTCCTATCGTCTTCTAGACAACCTGGCCCTTTTGTCAACAACAACTGGAGATTCCCCGACGAAGAGGCTGGCATGATTCAGAGCAGCGACCGATCCAGTGTGACAGTCGAAGATATACGGGATCCCATGCCTAGTCCTCGTGCAAGACGAGTGTCGTGGTTCGATGTTGGAGGTCTGCTTGAGAATCAAACTGTAGCTCCCTCACCCACGGATTCAGTCATCGCGCACGACTTCGCAACCCAGCCACGGCGGGGGTCCAGAGCCTCAAACACAATCATACCAAATGCGCGTGCATTTATGCCTCAAGTACGGCGCAACTCTCGACTTTCGCAGCAGTCTGAGGACTACGAGATGTCGTCTGTCCGGCCTACCCACCAGTTGCAGGACCTCGGCGGCTTGCTCTCCGAAGACCGCGAGCAAGAAGAAGCTCTGTCAACCCCCTCTCCACACTCGGGCTCCTCAGCCGGTCCTCCTCGCAATGAGCGATACGCGCCCATACAACGCACGTCCACGCGCTCCACACAAGCAAGCTACGATGCTCTGTCTCTACGAGATCCTGGAGGCTTGCTTTCTTCCGCACCCCCTCCTACGTCTCATCGACGCAACCCTACCCAACATAGCCGCAACGTGCCGTCCTTACAGGATGCTGGCGGCCTTCTTGGTTGACGACTCCCTTACTACTTTACATACCCCCTGCGTGATACCCCGGCCTCCATGGCCTCTTTGCATATGCATAGCCTGCCTAATGCTTCCCATGTTATTTTTTCTTTTTCTTTTGTATAGTACACGAATCGCCCACACGTGGCGGTCGTGATGGGTTGATGACTGATGGGTTACGACATTTCCGGATGCGATACCCATGGGCCATCAGAGATCTAAGATGTATGCCGGAAATTACGATCTAGAGTCGGTTGGCAAGACTTGTGTATAATAGCAATATACCCACCGCGTGGCGTCGTCAAGGCGTACGTCACGGCAGTGAATTGCCGACCTATAAATGAAGTCAATATGCACTCTCGGCTCCTTGATCCTACATCCGGGTGGCACACGTGTGAAGACACAGGGTTTACGCTAAAAGGAAGTCGAAAAAGCGATTACCGAGCGCATGGTTCAGCATCCAACGCTCCAGCCCTGCGGAACGAATAGCGTTCGGGTATTATTCACGATGTCTTGGCTGTCAACGGCGCGGGAAGGAGCTGCAGGGCGTCGGTCAAAGCTCGCACTATTACCAACAGCAACCACCGTGCCACTTTAGCACCCTTTGCGGTAGCTATCCAACACCATCGCGAAGTGGTGCCGTCGATTATGAGCAATGACGCACCGACGCTTGGAGAGATCATCCAACTAACCCGTCAAGAACTTACTACGAGGCAGAAGACCGATCCCATTCGCGAATGCGGACGCGCCGCGTTGTCGCTCCTTCCCAACGATTTCGAGCTTGCCCTCAAGCTTGCGTATCAGAAACTACACGATGTGCCGTATAGGGAGGTGAAGACGTGTTGGCGCAGGCTGTACACGGATGCGAGCTTGTGGAAGGTGTTGTCGCTAGTAGACGGCGAGCGTGATGAGCACCTGCGCGAGACCCTCTCAGAGTCCGGGGGCGACAAAGAAGAAGTCGATTCAAAGAGTGACTGGGTCGATGAAGTGGTGCGGATACTGGATATGGCGCTCATACTGACAGGCGCACCTGAGAGGGAAGAGCTTGTAGAGCTATGGTTTGCAGCGCTGAAGGCTGTTCTAACTCCACCAGAGTCTCACCTTCATATCGACGATCCAGAACGGCCGCGTAAGAGAAGACGACTATCATCTGAGGGTCAAACTTCACGCCTACCAGCAAGCTTCGCAACAATGCTTCCCAGCCCTCCACCCACCCTTCGGCACGCGATCCCACGAACGAAAGAGCTCAGTCTGGAGGGTTTCCAGAAGAGACTCGGTGACACAAACACCCATACACCACTCATCATCGAGGGTGCGATACAGCATTGGCCCGCCCTTGATGAGAGGCCGTGGAACGACCCGGCATATCTGCTAGAGCAGACGCTTGGCGGTAGACGTCTTATACCAGTAGAAGTTGGAAAGAGCTATACCGATGAAGGTTGGGGCCAGCGCATCATCACCTTCCGTGACTTCATGGAGACGTATATGCTCAAGGGTCATAGAGAAGCTGTCTTGACCGCAGCGCATACAGACGCGATGCAAAGCCCTGAACTCAACGAGGCGGCTGGCAGCAAGAAAGCCACACCCACCGGCTACCTAGCCCAACACGACCTCTTCGCCCAAATCCCCTCCCTACGCGCCGACATCAGCATACCCGATTACTGCTACTGCGAGCCCGCTCCATCCCCTCACCTCACACACATCAAACCCGTCGCGAAACTCGAAGAACCTCTTCTGAATGCTTGGTTTGGTCCCGCAGGCACTATATCACCACTTCACACCGATCCCTACCATAACATCCTCGCTCAAGTTGTAGGCTACAAATACGTGCGCCTCTACGCACCTGCGGAGACGCAGCGTTTGCATCCGAGGAGTACAGACGAGAGTGGAGTGGACATGAGCAATACCAGTCAGGTTGATTTGGAGGAGGCTATGGCTTTGTATCCTGATATATCTTGTTGGAAGACTAGGGAAGGCTACGAGGCGGGCGAAGATGAGGCTCCGTGTGAAAGGAGACGGGAGTTCGAGGAAGAATTCCGTGGATTTAAAGACGCACAGTACATCGAAGGTATCCTAGCACCAGGCGAGTGTCTATACCTACCCGTGGGTTGGTGGCATTACATACGTAGTCTGACACCCAGTTTCAGCGTAAGCTTTTGGTTCAATTAGATCATCACCATCCTATTCTTATTCTCTACATCATACATTCGATCCATACGTATTCATACCTCTCTCTCACCCACCATTCTTGCCGTGTCGTACATACAATCCCACTTCTCCTAGTAACCCGTCAGACTCCTCGAATAAATGCAAACACTCCCCACGCTTCCCACACTATAAACCCCACCACCCATCTCCCCTTCTCCCTCCCAGCAACCCGCCTAAGCGCGCCCCGCACGGTCTGGACACCGTTGACACACACCCTTCAACGTCCCGCGATGCACTGTATCCGCCACTCCGCTCCCGCAGACTCCATCGCGCTCATTCCAGTATGCACATCGCCGATAAAGATCTGTGTAGACACAATAGCAGCCTTCGTAGGTGGTTTCGTCCCATTCGCACATGGTTTATGTCGGTGAGAATGTAGTTGGAACTGTGTTGGTGTTTAGATGGTTAAGAGGTTCAGAGTCGGTTGTTTTATTCAGGGGGTAAACTCGATTTTGATGGTGTGTATGTGCGCGTTGAGTGTGATTTGAGTTATCTTTCTGTTCTCAAGGGTGAAGTATGTGGTATGTGGCTTGGGTGGTGTGTATAACTTGGCTGATGATAGAGGTTCTGGGGTTATACGAAGGGGAGGGAGCAGAGGGCTTTTATACAGTATGTATTGTTTGGAGTAGCGGTTTCCATTGTGGTAATTGAACGACAATGTTGAATGAGTCCCTCATCACGATTACTATGGCCGTCTGCTCTTCCATCAGTGTTGCTATATTCCTCATGCCGTATTCCTTGTCTTTTATGACATATACAAACATTTTGCTCGATGAGATTAAGTGGACACTTCCATGATCACGACTGTAAACATAGATGCCATCGGACACAACCGATTGAATCATAACATATCCCCTTGCCCACTCCCTCCCCTTTCTCTCTCTCCCCCCTTCATCCACCTACCCAAAAGCCGGAGCCAACGCATACCCCACAACCAACTCCTCGCCCTGCCTAAAGCAGCTCCACAGATTCCCAACCCCCTCATCCAACGCAGGACTAAACACATTACCCACATAGCAAAACACACTCTCATGCTCCTTCACACCCAGTCTCTTGCGCAGAAAACGTACTATTGTTGCGAAAGACTGGTTGGTGGAGAGCTTGAAGATGCGTTGGGTTAGGTGGGGGGCTGAGCCTATGGGTTGTAGACGGATTGTTACTATAGCGGGAGGTTAGTGGGCAGGGTGAAGTGGAGGCAGTGGTATAAAGTAATTGGGTTGAGATATGGGATCGTGGAGTGGATTTGTTGTTGGGGGGTTGGAAGATGGATGGACGAAAGTGAAAGGAAATACCTTTCTGAACAGCGAGGTTTCCTGCTCCTTCCAACGCTTTCGAAGCGTCTTTGGGGAGGTTGGTCAGCACGACTGAGGCTGCCATGGTGAGAGGCGCTTCTGTAGTGTCATCTTCCTCTGGTATTCTCTCTTTTGGTGATTCGGACATGGCCACGGTTGATGTGTATTAATCCGAAACGAAGAGTGAATTGTGGATACAGCGACTATCTGGGGGTGACGGTCAAGGGCCCAAGAAGGTGAATGGGGACTGATTTGAGAAAAGTGAATGTTTGTGGGTTAGTGTTCGTTCGAGGCAAGAGCGATGGTCACGATGGAAGGTGTAAACGTCGGCCTAGCCAATCAGCGCCCCACTACCCCAACATCACCCCTCTAATGCGCAAGACTGTCTTCCAACCATATCGTCTTTCGCATTGATATCTAGTGTTTTCTACATATCTGATACGATAATGATATATAACATAGCCTCCAGTATGGCGTCGTCCGCGTTCGTCGCCAAGTAACCTCCTCAGTATGACAATGTTCTACAAACCTCCATAGTAGTACCAACCCTCGTTTACTGAAAACACACGCGTGTACACCACCAGCCAGCCGGTTTGCAAAGCGCAACAACCAGCAAAGATGACCCGAAGGCCATGACGCAATAGCTATATACAAAGGGGATGCATGCATCGTTAAGCCACCAGGGATCAGTGATCATGGGCCTATACAGGGTAAGGAAATGGAGCAAGTCAAGCTATGTCGCCAATAAGGGGAAAGGTAGAAGCTGCGCCTCGAAAATGCTATGGAAACGGGTATTCGCTCGCAGAGTAATGCCATGCGCCCGGGGGCGAGAAGTGAACAACAGGTGCGATAGGAAATTATGTCGTGGGTATTAGTGAGGTCGTGCATTACGCCGTAAGGGATGCAATGTGTGGCCGTGTAGTCTGCATGAACCGCAAGGCTCATCGACGATCAAGTTGGGCGAGTAGCTGGTCAAGCTCAACCCAGTTGTCCGTGGTGACTGCGAACTTGCGGTGCTTGCGGGAAACGACGTGCTATATGATGTCAGTATGCTGTTTGTAAAGGAATGCTTGTAGTGCGTACCTCGTCAAAGTCATTGAACTTCTCCCTGCAGTTCTCGCAGTAACCAGGCTTCAGCTCCTTCTCAGCAGTCTTGCGCCTGCGGAGGGCTGCTGCTTTACGAGCTTGTCTTTCTTCGTCTCCATCGTCGTGTGTGTGACCCATGTTCTCCTGAGCCTTGCGCTTTGCCGCGCGCATGGGTTGAGAATGCTCATAGCTGAGCGCAGCCCTGACATCGTTTGTAACGGACGAATGGCCACTATTCGTATTCGCCGACGGTACGCTGTTCTTCTCGAGGACCTTTCGTTTCAGCTGGTTGACTTCCTTGCTGTTTCCAGCACGAGGGGCAGCAGCAGTCGAGGAGATCATTTGCGAGCGAATAGCGGACGTGATGTTCGATTGGTGTAGACCAGACGCGACCGGCTCACCAGCGATGAAACGGGGCATGGCTCGGATGCTAGCCTGAGCACTGCCAAACATGGGTGGTGGGCCGTCTGCCGTGTTGCATCGCTTGGGAGGAAGGGCCTTTGGAGGATCTAACGGTTTCGCATCTCCATCCTGTTCTTCTTTGACGATGGCAGCAGGAGCGCTGGGACGCCTTGCCAGGTTGTTGTTCTCCCCCAAAGCATTCTTCTCTTCCATAGCTGAAGCAGCACGCGTCCGTGGCGCCTGGGCAGCCTGCCTTCGGCGTGCTTCCTGCTCTTCCTGCTGTCGGCGACCGAAATGGGGATCCTCCACGAACGGGCACTTGCCGTTACCAGAGGCACGGAACTGCGGCCATTTACCCTTCTCTTTCTCAACCTTCTGGTATTCTCGGATCATGACGGGTCGAGTAACCTCGTCCATATCGTGCACGTACACGTAGTATCCACGGAGCGGAATCATGTCCTGCGAGGCCATGACGTAGTCGCGGTCCAACTTCTCATTTTGTAGCAACCTTTGCAAATCAGCAGGACGACCCTTGTGCTGCGTAGCCACCGCCTGACGTGTCGAATGGGTAGACGCGTCCTCCCCAGTTTCCTTGTTGAACATGGTATCCACCATACGCTGCAACTTCTCGACGGACCAGATCTTCATACCCAAGCTCTTAGCCTTGTACAGGATGTCACCACGGTCGGACTTCTCGAGGGCGGCATCGAAGATGGACTTCTTGTTCTCCAGCTGGGCCGGGTTGACGGTGCCTTTGTGGGAGGATGAACTGCCATCGAGGTCGGCGGGAATGGAACGCGTCGTGATGACATGGGTAACTTCCCGAGAGAAGAACTTGACTTCTCGCTGGTGACTGTTAGCACAACGGATGTAGGGAAGGGTATGCCAGACGTACGGAACCTAGGACGCGTGCCCTGTTCAGAAGTTTGTCTTTCTGGGGTTCTGAGACGCTGTCAAAGTAGAAGGCAAACTGGGGAAACAGCTTGCGGTAGTGACGCTGCCATTGTCGGATCGTTTCTAGGTCGTGAGATGCACGCTGTGCGGCCTGCTTTGACGGGGCCTTGGTCTCTCTTGCTGCTTCCAGCTTGCGAGTCAAAGCCGTGGGCTGGGCCCCACTCCGACGAATAAGGCCGTGACGGCGAGCTTCAGCATCATCGACTTCGATGAGCTGTTTTTTGGGTGGTGGCTGGCCATAGGGGACATCGCGTTGCTCGCTGGCGTGGGAGCGTTGGCGCTTTCCTCCTATGGCAGTCGCGCGTAACGGGGAGTTGGTAGCGTTTTGCAGGTTGGCGAGGGGGACGCGCCGGTTCGACATGACTGAAGGAACCTGGGGCGACGGAGGGACAGCCACTGCTGCCATACGTAGGATAGCGGCTGAGGGTGCTTCGAGGTGTAATAGATGGGCGTGGTGGGAGGGGCACGTGTGCGTGTAGCTCACGACGCGACGGTACAGGCACGTCGAGGTTTTCTAGCAACGCGTAGCAGCCATGTCGATGCGAGGGAGCTTCAGAGACCGAGTGAGATGTTGACGACACAGCAATTGAGCGAAGGTGAAGCGCGTTGCAGACGTCGATCTGCTTTCATCGACCAAGGAAAGAGTGTCTTTGTTTGGTCCGGAGGCTGGGTACAGTATGATGCAGGTGCAGGCTAGAGCGACTGTGGTTAGCCTGAAAATCTCGCGCGAACCATCCACAACATCATTTGCCTAGACAACGACATTGGCAAACAATACACCCTTGCCGACAACACCGTCAGTGCGCCCTGCACGACATCTCGCGTCTGCGAATCTCCCACCGTATAGCTGGCTCACGATTCAGCGTATCAGGGGAAGATTTGCAGCTTCTGCATGCGGCGCGCCTCTGCTGCTTGCACTGACGCCGACCCCACTTCTCCTGTCTCCTGTCCTGGGAGTAATTCGACGGCGAGCGCTGCACCATCAGGCCCGTCTCATTTCGCGTCCTCAGGCCAACACTGGCTGGTGGAACGCACCCGCGTCTTCCATTTCCATGGGACCGTGACAGCTTCAAACTTATTCAGGGTCTGGATCATGGAGGTATTTGTGGGTAGCCGGAAGTGTCACCCACCTCGGCCGCGACTTTGTTCTATGGGCTGCAAAACACCGGAAGCGTCAGGAACAGTGCATACAAGAATAGACAAAACACACACGTACAAAGACGTCATGTCGATGATGTACGTTCTGGGTGCTGCAAAGTATTTAACAGGTATTGGCAAGACGCAGGTTTTCAGCGGAATACACTATGAGATGTCATGGACTCTGCATAAACGGTCGTAATTAGCCCCGAACACAGTAGGTCAGCGGTTGCACATACGTTCCTACACGCTTCTTTTAAGTCTTCCAATATGTTCTCACACTCTCCTTCGTTCTCGTGGCTATCACATTCTCGGTTTCCAGCGCTGGCTCGTCTGGAGCTCTGCTACCTTGCCACCCTGTACCATATCCCGTCGATGTTACTTCATCTCCTGTTACTTTCATCATCGTATAGAATATGTGGAAGCCAGAACTCTGCGAATATAAACAAGTGTGATATCGGACTTGTACATCAAGATCATGATCGTAACACCAGGTCGTCCATCACTCCTCCACGTCTTGCTCAGTGAAAGGTCTACGCGTGCGGATGGTGACCTGATCATTCACTTTGACTTGGGCCAAACGCAAATAGAGAGCGCCTATAAATTCTCTGGACTGCGTATTTCTCGCACCTCCACTCTCCTAACTCGACTATATACAACATCGTCACCATGACCGATTCGTATCGTCCGCCGTACAATTCCAACCGACAATGGACACCAGCGTCTGCACCTTCTGAGGCTGCGCTCAACTACGACGACGCGGATGTGAACCGTATTCCGATCAATCCTCGCCGTTCCAACGCCGCAGTTCCAACTCAATCATCACGGCTATGGGATGAAGACCTGAACTTGCTCATGCATTGCACTATCCGCGCCTACGACCTCGTCGTGAACTACGTCCGCGATTCCCACGGTGGTACCCGCTGGTCACGCGAGGACATCGATCGCATTCGAGATTTCGGCGCCTATCTTCATGGCGACGTCCGCGATTTGAAGCACTGGAGTGAAGTAGTCGCAAAGGAGGGGGAACAAGATGCGTACACTATGGACAAGATCCGCGACGACGTCGAGAACCTACGGAAGTACTGTGAGCAGATTCAAGCCTTCATCAGGGATACTGAACGTATTCCCCTGCGCCAACGTATGACACGAGACGATGGAGTGCAGGCTGGTCAGAACGTGGATGATGGTCATGGTTTTGGTGGTGGTAAGAACAACTTCCCCGGAGGTGGCTCCCTAGGTACTGACTTCTCGCTGCCTCCAGACACCAACCAGCTCGTCGAGAGCACTCAAGAAGGCGAGGGTATGGACGTCGAGATGAGTACCGGCCTGGAGGAGAAGCCTGAAGTGGTCGATCCGACACTGAACCCACGGCAGGCAGACTGGGCAACTACACCTTCAACGCGATTTGCTTGGTAAAAGATCGTGCATAGCCGTAGGCTTCTAGATACTGTTTCCACACTGTAGATACTGTAGAATGAGTGCTAGACTAGTTCACGTAGCACGTTGGCGTCGCGTGTGACGAAGCAAAGATATCCAGATGTTCCCACACGTTTTCCACGTTCCAGC